AATAACACCATTCGCGGCCAACCGCCACATCCCACAACTTTCGTGAAGTAATTAGCTCCCAGCTTGTTCAATAGTGGAAAACATTATCGACTGTGCCATGTGTAAAAACCCGTGAAGTATTTTGTAAGGACAACCGGCAGAGAGCCGTTGCCTACTTCAATTCGCTGAGGCTTCGGAAATCAGGTAGCTGAAACCTCCTTAGTATTAACTGATCGACGTCGACGTTAGTATCGCCGAGCCTTAGTGAGGTTCGTGGTTTCGTTTCTTTAAGCGCAATGCTGGCAAATAACAAATAAACTTGAGCTCTTTGCAATTTACCAATGTGGTTATACCCTGCACGTAACTGTAAGCAACCTATCAGTTGTAATAATTTTTCGAAAATTCCTGAGGAGAATGTAAAAAGCTGAATTCAGCTAATTATTCGAAGTTCTGTTTTGCGTCAATTTAAAATTTGCGTGTAGAAAATAGTGAATGATTTGTTAAATATCGGTGCATATCATCTCCTTCTGTGTGCACCAATTTATATATCCCTTGGGTCAAGTCACTTAGGTCACAACAACAGACGTTTGCTTGAACGCTTCTGCAAGCATTACCCAACGGGGCAAAACCGAGGGTATAACAAAGCGTGCTCCACTACATAGAAGCACAATTAGTCCAAACGAATTTTCCTGTCTTTATTTCTAAAGACTTTCGTTCAATATATTGTGTGAGAGTTGCAAATTTCAAGCTTGTCAGAAGCTGAATATTTGCAAATTGTTAGGCGATCGCGATGGATTTTACGTGCAAAAGCAATTTGTCAAGGTCGTGGCTTTAACATGGCCAGCTGTCGTTCGGGAAGCTTATGTGTGAACGAACCACTCATTTTTGGACATAAAGACAACTTAATTTTTGATTAAATCAATCCTCCCCTTAATGTGCTATATTAGATGGAATGTGAGTCTCTGAAACCAAAATACCATACCTGTCTCTTCATGACTAGCTCGTAATCACCTCTACCCACTCTTAATCAACTACCATAACTCGAAACATTGTAACCCAGCGCTTAAGTATTTAAAAAGTGGGTCACCATTTTGTCAATTGGTCTTAAACGCTAAGTGGAGAGCAAACAAAATAAAATAGTATTACGATCGCTGGAAGATTCGTATTTATCCTGTGTCAAAATCTTCTTCAGAAGTATGGACATTAATATCCATCTGCGCCCACTTGCAATTTTTACGCCTTTGGTATAACCCGAATCTCTCCGGAACCACATTCACATCAGCATTATTGACCCCATGTCCCTAGAGTTGCTTCTCTCATGGATCCAAGCATTTAACTTACTAATATTGAAGCGTCCAATAAAGAGAAATCGGAACATTCTGGCCACGCAAGCACGCCCTAATTAAGGATACTCGACGAAGTTTACAATAAAACCCACATGGGTACCAACAGTACCTCCTAAATGACGCATGCATAAACGTCCGGAATTATACTACTATCCCACTCGGAAGCGTTTTCGAAGGATCTCTTCTAGTGAAATTTATTACACATTGTAACAATAAAGCAAGATAAAAGCGACTAGTTTGTTGTTAATTCTCGCTCGACCTAGGTGCGACATCGCGAACGTCAACATATTAGACAAAATTGAATCCACAATTTTTATGATTAATGTTTAGGCTTGTTTCTCTATAACATGAATCATGCTAGCTATAAATGTTATAATTGTTTACAATAAAGCAGTGTCACAGAAAGCATCGCAGTAGATTGCCAAAATGTATCACGTTTGTGCCTAAATTGTCATGCATTTAATACCGTAAATTAAAAATTAATGAAATTTTATTCGGAAAAATGCATGACGTACTTCCGCTCGGTGCGCTACTAGATTCAAATAACCATATGGTAGTAACGGATTCATCCGTTAACCCAACTAGTAAAAATGCTTTCCTTTTGATTGTCCTTGAAGGCTACATTTGCTTTGTAGTTATCGTGCATTTAATCATCGGAACATGTGATACTACCGACTGTTATTTATTTAATTTACTTGACCGTGCATTTATTGGACCATCAAATATATCAAGGAAAGGATTAATATGCGCCGTTTTTAGATAAGGCCGTTTGTGAGGCCTCAGCATCTTACCCCAGATCGAGTAATATTCGGCCTCGCTTCTATCTACATTCTAGTACGCCTAGATTCAATAGCTTTTTATGATATTCTACAGACATAAAAGGTAGTCTGCTTGACCAACTACCGCGCAGAGCTTACAAATCCTAATTCAAAATGAAAAACCCCTGGGATTTCATACCACATAAACTTACTCCTAACAGGGATTCATGTTTCCATGCTGTAAGAACCGAAGGCGGATTTTCGCTTATCCCAATTGCCAGACATAAAAGCACCGCTTAACGTAAGTGGCTTAATTCGAACGGCCATGAGGGATACATAGCTAAGCAAACCATCAAATTTCCAATTTTTTCTGTGGCTAAGATGCTGTAGAGTGTAACTCATGAAATTTATATGGGAAATAAGCTCCAAACTAGGGACTGTTTTGCGACGCACCCTAAGCAGCAAACACAACCACACCCGCATCTTGTGTAAGTACAACGTTAATCACTTAGATAATTTGTCACAGAAAACTTTTAACGGCTTACCTTCAAAGGCTAATTGCCAAGATATTTTCCATTATGTCAAACCAGATAGAGTTAGCTGGATCATATATGTTACCCATATAACACAAATTAGGAAAACTAGATATGTGAACAATTAGGACGGACATACATTTATGGAAAGCTAA